AACCATCAAAAGTAAAGCGGTGTGCTAAATCGCTAGACCACCAAGGCCATCAAATATATGTGTGTTAACGTCTCACGTTTACACAATTGAATGAATTAAAAAGAATACTATTATATAATATACTACTGTGAGAAGTAAAAAGGAATTCATATTTAACAATTTTTTCTGTAAAAATGACATACGTATATTTTCACAGAAAATATTAATTAAATTTAAAATTAGAAATATCTAGGCTAAAAACTGTTGTAATAATATATCTCTAAAATATCTCAGGATAACTCACACAGCGCCAACTAGTCCCAAACTAAGAAGAAGCTTGTATAGGTATGTACTAGACAAATGATATAAATACGGAGATACTTTTTCTTTTGTAAATTTATAATAATAGATCATAAACAACAGATCGTACAAACAATCATACTCATGAATACAAATGTTTATACCGTACGAGGAATCGAACGAGCGACCATCGAAAGCAAGGGCGTTGGACGACCAAGGGCTAAGGCAAGGGTAATATAGGCTAAATATTTTTCAAAGTGCCGTTTAATTTTTTTTAAATATCGAATAGGTAACATCTTATATATTTTTTAATTTTACTAATTGTAACCGCGACTTCGTTCGCATAAAATAGTAGTCTTGACCAAATAACGATAAATATTTAATAAACTAACCCAAAAAAACCAAAGAAAAAAGTTACACTGTTCTAGCTTCAGAAATGACGAATTTCCTTAAAAAATTACATCCCCTATTTTATTTTACTCCCTTAAGGGTAAAATTTTTACAAACTTTGAACGACATATTTATATTTAATTAACAGTCTAAAAAAATAAGTTTCTAACTTTAAAAACGACAATTCTTCCTTATAACGTTGCATCGCCCCTTTCAATACCTTACAAGCCTTTTTTCGCATTAAAAAGTAGCCTATATCCTTACTCAGCGTCTAGACTATCTGCGTGAAAGCGAGACAGACAGAATTACTTTCACATTTATAATATTAGTAAGAATTTATTGTCATTTGATTATCCTTTAAAGATGGCTTCCCAAATGTACATACATATAAACAAAGACAATAGACAATAAACACCCACTTCACTAATTGTGTTATGATTTCTAACACATACGTAGATAGAGAAGTGAACGAGAACTACTTAATTCAATATAGTGGGCATATAATAAACTTTACGGCAGGTACAATATTCTCAATACAACATACAGACACTCGCCATGTCTGAGTTGGGAACTATCTTGATCGTCTGATAGAACTTTCAGTTTGCTGTGTATGTAGTTTGAACAGGTTATTTAAATAGCATAAGTCTTAACATGCTGGTATAAACCACTATATATATAACTATAGTAATATTATAAAGCTGAAGAGTTTGTCAGTTTTTATGTGAGCTGATTTTCTTATCAGTTTGTCTCATCTCAAAGTCATTGACATGTCATAAGAGTCTGAATTTTGAATTTGAATTTGTGTAACAAGCTAATCTCAGAAATTACTCGTTTAAATTAAGAAAATTGTTTAGTGTTGTACAGTCCATTTATCGATGAAGGCTATAGGTAAGATATTACGCTACGATGATAAATGAAAAATGTTGCAAAAATTGAGAAATTTTAACTCTCAACCAACGATCTCTCTCATGTGACGCTGAGGAAGCTTGCGTATATCTGCTAGTCATACATATTCATAATGAAAGTGGTTTCTGTGTGACATAAAAAAAAATTAAACATCACGGGTTTTATACATTATGTTACCGAGGTAAAGATATAGATTTTACAATTTGTATTTCTGTAATCTTAGATACGGGTTTTCATTTTGAATTCGGTTTTATTGGTATAGGGTTCTGTCGTAAAAGCAAGTCAAAAGTCAGTAACAGTATTCAAGAAAATAAGTAATAAAACATTTATATAATACTAGATGAGCCGTGCAACTCCGTCTGCATTATAGTTACATGATATTTATAATTATATTCCAATTTACATACTATCTTTTTAAATTATATCCTATGTGTTATTCTGAACGAATTTCGATGAAACTTTACAGTAATATTCCTTATGTATAAAATCCGTTCAGTAGTTTTTGTGTGAAAGAGTGACAAACATCTATCCATATTCACAAATTTCGCATTTATAATGAAGAGTAAGATTAATTAGTAAGATTTGCGATCAGTAAAGTTTAATATTTATTTTTATATTTCTGTTTTATTTCTCTGTTTCAGAGTTATTAGTATTCGACCTGACTATAGACTTAATTATTATACGACCAACCAAATATTATAGTAATGAAAAAAATATCATATCAAATAGTTTTGTAAAGTTTTAATATGTTTTATTGATTTCAACCATAGATAATACCGAATAAATTTTATAAATTATCAATTACTAGCCATTACTATTTGTCGTGATACTATAAGATCGCATGACAAAAACACTAGTAATATTGTAATGTAACATTAAAAGCTTTATGGAGTTATTAAAATACAGTTAACCGAATTGTTATGAAATATAACATTGTATTATGGTCGTTATTACATGTACGAACCCATTTCCATATCCGTCATAAAAAGACGGTCCAAAGATGTAAGGACACCCTTCAGCATCTATTTATGGTTTTCAAGGAGGAAGGAAATAGTCTCTGTCTCTACTCTCAAAGAGAAGCTGTCTACAAGCTATATGATGTTGTCACTAATTCGGCACGCATTTTGATAATTGCTGAAAATTTTAAAGAAAGCAGATCATGACGGCCTCGGAGGTCTAGCGATTTAGCAACCTACTTTACTTCCAATGGTCGCAGGTTCAATGTTACCACACTCGCTCGGTGTTAGCGCATTGTTTTCTTCTGTATGATGTTTTCTATGTATATTATGTATGTTTTTACAAAAAATCTAAGTATTTATATCAGTAGTACCCATAATTCAAGCTTGAGACTAGAGAAGCAGTAGGAATTGTCCAGAGTAATTACTGTTATTATTATAAAAAAACACGTCATAAAAATGAAGCATAAGTATCAATAAACGTCTGTGTAATATACATTATTCCACACAAAAACAACATCAATTAAGGATCGATCAAAATCATGTTTATGCCATACCATATATATTTTGTCAGTTTTTTTAAGACTTTAAATTTAGTTTTGATATTTCTGAAATGTATTCAAATGCTATATGCTGTAACTGTGGATTTTAGTCACATGCTAAATTCATAGTTATACATCCATCGTTCATTCATAATTTAAAAGCCATACTCTTGTCGGTGGAGCTCTTGCCAGTTCTTAAGATCTTTCTTAATTCTCTTTGAATATTGATATGACAAAACTCTAATTATTTCCTTACTTTGCTTTTTGTAACTACATATGTCTTGGTCTTCCCTTCACTTCTATCCTTCTATTTTATCTTTACTAATATTCATTAATTGATTAGCCCGTATCAAGTGTTCCAACATTTTCCCTCGTATTTTGTAATAGTGTGCAAAATCTAAGAAAGAAAGTGGGATATATAAAAGAGACCTTTTACATATAGGATTCCCAAATATCCCACTTTCTTTCTCAGTCGGTTATTAACGCGAAGGTATAATAAAATAATTGTACATATGAATAATGTAAATTAATGAGAACTACATTATGTTTCATGTCAGAAAATTATTGTAACAGTACCAATGATTAATTACTACGAATAAGTATATAGAATAAACACGAGTAGGTACCTACTGTTATTAACTATAATTAATTATCACAATATCCTTGATAGTGTAGCTGAAAAAATATAGTATGTGATAGTAAATTTATTTCTATATTATATGATTTGACTTGACTAACTTAACTAACCCAAAAAAATTATAGCACTTTCTTCTTCACTAGTGTTTATCACGTACGGTTATAAAATAAACATATATTCTTAATACATACATATTATGGTATCAAACTTATTTTCTCTCTTTGGCAATGGCTAGATATCAAACTTGTGTAATAAATATTTTTTAAATTTCCAATATCCAAACCATTTCATATAAATAAAAAGTGAAATATTGTTAGAAAACCATGAAGGTATTATCTTCATACTTGACCAATTCTGGAACCAATAATATTTTGCACAATTAAAAATGCTAAATGTTTATTACATACGGGTTTTTACCCGAATACGATTTCGTTTATGTGACAGGTGTTTTTCAGGTCAAGATTGTAAATACTACAAAACGAGTAACTTTATTATTCTCCTTTTATATAATATTTACAATTTTCTAAAATGAAATCGCATTCGGGTAAAATCCCGTATGTAATAAACATTTAGAAATAACAACTGTTACTCTTATTAATATGGACTGATATTTTTATACTAATATTTATTTATATAATCTCTATTTACACTCAGTATAAACTATTTACTGCTATAATTATTACTTCATATGTCATGGCAAAATTTATTAACTTTTTATTTCTGTACACAAATGGGGACGAAATAAATCATGTTAATTATGACATTTTCATTATAGGTAGTTACTTTATTTGTTTATTGATTTCTTGCTCTTGATACAAAAACTTATGTCTACTATTAATTATTTAAAGGAAATTAGACAATTTACTTTGTTAGCTAAGGACGGTTCAATAAAAATATATATGGGTAATAATATCACATGTAACCAATTCCGATATGACTAAAGATTATTTTCTAATCTCATTTTATTAGTATTACAATATTCCAATTCCAATTTTTCTATTTCTTGTAGAAAAAAATTACCTCCAAGATTAAATTTATAGGAACACTTATGACTTATTTGTTTGGTTAGGTCGTGTGGTTTTTAAGTTATGTATAAATAAAATCAATAAAATTATCGATTTACACAGTGTTAATATAAATTTACTGTCGTATACATGAGTCAATTGTCTTATATATCTTCATAATTAATTAACCTAACAATATTTTTTTTATTATAAACTATGCACCTATATATTTATATTGAATATTATAAAGTTATTTAATATTTAAATATATTAAACTACAACTTACTTTTAGAATTCGGTGCGATCTTTGCTTCATATTTCAGTAAATTCAATAATTCTACATTCATTTTATTTGTTCACGCAATTTATATTTACCATCCCATAATAAAGTAGAAACTTCACTGTAACATTTAAATGAAATTACTTTAATTATAAAATAAATATAAATGCTGTAAATCTTATTTTTGAAACTGGAACCAAATGTAGCGTTCGTATTTGAGATCGTCGTAGCAGTCTCGGGCCGCGCGACGTGCGGCTACGCCAACGTACAACGTAGCACTGCCGTAGCACGCTCGTAGCGCTGCTTTCGATTTGTAAATCTGTTTTTTTTTCTTTATTTTGTTATATTTTATTTGATTCGTTAGTTTCATTATACGAATAATTTACTTATGCAAGTTGCGGCTGTGTTTACTTTTCATTTCAGCGATGTTAATATTAGAATTCCCTGGTAGAATACGAAATCCTGTTTAAAACTTTTATTAATATATTTTACAGGTATATTATGACTGATTTCTTTAAATTTTACATGTAGATTGTAAATATTATTAAATATTGATTGGTATATAATGCCAATACACTCTACATACTTAACAATGTGTTCGTTATTATCTTCATCTCTTCTTGAAGATTATTATTCAATTCAATTCAATTCAAAATATCTTTATTCATGTAGGTCTATTACAGACTCTTATGATATGTCAAATCTACCGTCAGTTCGGAATGATATCGAGATGAGAAGAACTGACAAGAAACTCAGCTCGTAATTTTTTTAAAATAATAGTGGAACATGTTTAGGATAAATACAGTTATTAAAATTCAAATTTGGGAGAATAGAGTGACCACCAACCAGCATATGCTATCGCAAAGAACAAAAAATTTAATCAGTGTTCACAACCTGAACAGACCAGTCCCCACAAGCAGCACCCGTTCACGAGTATGACGTATGAGCCAGCCATCATTGTACTCAACCATATTTGAGGGAGCACATCGACCCGGCCCACCACGCCGCCACAAGTTTGAACTTTATAGCGAGCATAACTGTTTCAGGTTACTCCACTACGTCAATTATATTATTTACAGCATAGGCTGTACCGATCACAGTTTTCACCCATTACAATATTAAATTTACATTATTTAATTTACAATATGTCATTACAAAATTTATAATAAGTTTCTTTATTGTTATTACATTATCCATGTCAATGGGAAAAATTATATGCCTCATAAAAAAAGTTAAAATTGTAATTAAGTCCACACATTGCAGTCATTTAAGTAGTCGTTTATTTTATAATAAGCCTTAGAGCAAAGTGTTTTTTTTTACATGTATCTTGAATTTGGCTTCACTTAAATTTAAAACACTATCTGGCAATTTATTATAAAAACGTATACAATGTCCCATGAAAGATGTACTTACTTTTTTGAGACGATAACTAGGCATATTTGATTTATTTTTATTCCTTGTATTAAAAGCGTGTAAGTGACTATTTTTTGGAAATAAATTTAAGTTTTTGCGTACATACATAATATTTTCATATATATATTGAGAGGGAACAGTAAGAATACCTGTTTCTTTAAAGCGTTCTCTAAGAGATTCGCGACACGGTAAATTATATATTGAACGAATTGCTCTTTTTTGTAATATAAAAATTGATTCTACATCAGCCGCTCTTCCCCACAATATAATACCATACGACATTATACTATGGAAGTAACTAAAATACACTAGTTTCGCTGTTGCAGTATCAGTCAACTGTCTAATTTTTCTGATAGCAAAAGCAGCCGAGCTTAGTCTTTTGGCTAGTGTGAATATATGTGGACCCCACTGCAATTTATTATCTATTACAATACCAAGAAACGAAGTCTCATCAACAAAGTCCAAAACATGATGATTCATACTAACAGTTGTCGTTACCTGTTTTACATTTGGTAAAGAGAATTTAACACATTTTGTTTTCATTGAATTAAGCGCTAGATTATTTGATGTATATGTATATTAAAGTATTATATTTTACAAAATATTCTATACAACTTAATAGAGAAAACTTTGATTATTATATAAAATAAAATTTTGTTGACACGAATAAATATCGAATCAAAAGAAATCACCAAAATATATTCTGAATTGGTAAAGACACCACATAACTGAATTTTAGAACTCGTTTGAAAAAATAAATCATGTAACAAGTAAGAGAAAAATAAATACAAGCTGATCCGCGAAACTTTGTCTGCATCACATTTACTTGACCTTTTTCAATATATTTCGGTCAATTTACATAATATCTTTATAAATAATAGCATATGAGTTATTCTGATATATGAGCTATATTACTGTAAAGTTTAGTAGCAAGTAAAAACGGCCCATTCAGGGAATTTAAATAAACTATGTATTATATGACTGGACTTCGTTAGAAATCAAATATTATGCACAATTTTGTGAACTGTTTGTAATTACACAAATTAAGTTACTCAGGTCCATGCCAGTAGCTGCAAAAGTTTTAACTATTTCAAAATATGAGAATTATGCTCTGTTTAATTGATTTATTGTATTACTCGCTACTCGCCCCAGCTTCGCACGGGTGTACATGTAATACATATATAATATATATATAAACTTTTCTCTTGAATCACTCTATCTATTAAAAGAAACCGCTTAAAAATCCTTTGCGTAGTTTTAAAGATTTAAGCATACATAGGAACAGACAGCGACAGCGACTTTGTTTTATACTATGTAATAATGATGAGATTGCAAATTGGTAAATGTAGCGTAGGACGCCCCACAGCTAGGTGGAGCGACGACATACATACATAGGGTTGCGGGTCATAACTGGAGAAGGGCCGAAAATCATGCTCAGTCTACTGCTGCAGTAGTGGACTGCAATGTGCTGATGTTGATGATGATTTTAGGATCATTATTGGAAATAAATTATAACAATCAGTGCTTTATTCAGTAATGTATGTAATTCGGTTTCTCTTATATGCAAAAAATACACTTTAAAAACGTTAAAAAAGTTACTACCAAGTTCGGTTATAGCGATATATTGATTCGCATGGCCTGAGAAATAGTGACGAATTAATTTTCTTACTATTTTAAAATAGCACTTTGAGCTTAATTTATAATAACTATAAACAGATATTGTTTACTACTAATTTTGATTTGATTGTTTTTTTGTTGTTTGATTATTGCCAAAGTAATTTGACTATTTAGTTTGATATGTTTTTCAGTTTCAGTAATTACATTACATGTAACCGGTTAGATATTCTTTGTAATTCATACCAGATCACTTACCACTTTATGTAAAAATCCCATATCATTATTAAATTACAAACTAAATTAATTCTAATTTCGAAATGTTTTTTTTTAATATTTGTTTAATATACTAAGCTTGTATTAAATATGATATTAAAGTTTTTTTAATAGTTTACCTTCCAATATCTTACTAATGCTTAAGTTACAGTTATTAATATATTAAGATCCTTAAATTTAAGCTGCATTGTTTAAAACAGAAATGCCGAATTAAGAAGAATTACGTTAGTTAATTCATATTCTCATCATATTAATCCCTCCAGTCTTACATTAATTAAATATGCACTATCCACCTCGGCTCTGTTACAGGCATTGTTTTGTTTAGTGGAACAGAATGGACTTTTCAATTAGCAAATAAGCTCTGAAACAACAATCAACAATAGCATTGTAATGTTAAAAAAAACTACAACTTTAGAGTATTGCGAATTATATAAAATTACGACTCTAGAAATTAATTATGATTTAATGATAATACATATATTGCGCCATTTTTCACCTTTTTATATCAAATCAAATAAAAAATCATTCAAACATGTAAGACATTTTAGTCGCTTATGACCTTATTTTTTTTTTTGTATTATAATTTTTTCTCTACCAATTATATCACTAATCTTCAATTATATACTAGTATCTAATATATTAAGTTAATTAAAAAACTAAATATCTTTGTTAACGACACTACTATTGTTACTCTGTTTAATCTTCATTACATTTCAAAGTAAGAGTACAAAACTGCACTCTATTTAAATGGATATTGAGATTAGAACTGTAGATTTTACGACTTGAATCTAATTCCAATATGAACTTCACTTAAATTAAATTATAACACACTTCTGAAATGCAATCAAGAGTAACAAATTAACCAATTATAATATCCGGTATTTCAATCACATTCCGAGAACATAGATAATAAACCAAATTAAATCAAGAAATATCGAAGGTATATCGCTAGTTGATACGGACTCACGTCGCTACGTGAGTTTTTCAGCCATCGGGCAGGTTGCTTTATAATCTGTGATTTTGCTCTATCTTCTATGCGATATGACCTTCATCACTTCATATGACGGACACACAAATTGCCATATGGCAATGAAATTAAAGGATATGATGGCATGACACCTTAGTGCTCTAGGATGGCAACGCATGAGGATATATCACATGAAGATATGATGTCTGTAGGACTGTCCATATACAAGTAAAGGCGACAGTTATTAGGCTATCAGAATATTCTCAGCAAAGAATGAGTTTGTTGCGTATGTTTACCACAAGTTAGCGACACTGTCAAACCTAACTTTTTGAACACTGTCAACATTTATTTGTATCCATTTGTAATATTGTACTTACCCCATATAGGACAGTCATATATAGATAAATAAAAGTTACGTAAGTAAGTATGTGACGTAAATAAAATAGTAAGCAATGCCGTTTCTTAGCAAATATTGAGAGAGGGACCTTACACATATTTGACTAAGATGTAAAACGCTGGGACCCAGAAGTGTCTCTGAATAATTTCGCAAGGAATTCTGAAGTATGTACATCCCTATGTATGTAATATTTATATCGTTTTGTTTCGAAGAAAATGTCGTTTGGATCAGAATTTTGTTGGGCTACTTCTATTCGTTACACAATACCCCTTGCAGACACAACAACAATTGATATCTCCCTTTTTTAAAAATCGCCTACAAATTCTTTCGTTAATTAAAAAGTATGATTTAAGATATTAAATTAATAATCTATGACATATCACATGAATACGTCATATAACAACACAGGTAGACCATTGCTACTG